CTCAATGGAACAAATTTTAAGGACTGGAAAGAGAATATTGATATTATTCTTGGCTGCATGGATATGGATCTTGCGTTAAGGATTGAGCAACCCCTACTCCTACGGATTCAAGTACCTCCGAACAAAAAAGAGATTATGAGAAGTGGGATCGCTCAAATCGCATGAGTCTAATGATCATTAAGCGCGGCATCCGGAGATGTTTAGGGGCACTGTTTCGAAAACATCACAAGTGCCAAAGAATTTCTTGTCGAAATTGAACGGCGCTTTGCAAAAAGCGATAAGGCGGAGGCAAGCACTCTTCTTCGAACTTGATCTCCATGAAATATCGGGGCAAAGGAAATATCGGGGAGTACATTATGAGCATGTCTAATATTGTTTTTAAGCTCAAGGCACTAAAACTTGAACTCTCAGAAGACTTGCTCATTCATTTGGTGTTGATTTCTCTTCCCGCAACGTTTAATCAATTTAAGGTATCTTACAACTGTCAAAAGGATAAATGGTCTCTTAATGAGCTCATTTCTCATTGCGTGCAAGAAGAAGAAAGGCTAAAACAAGACCAGACAGAAAGTGCTCATTTTGCAAGCACCTTTAAGGCTAAAGGCAAAAGAAAGAGATCGGAGGATCCCAAGAAGGAAGCTGCTAAAGGTCCTGAACAAAAGAAACAAACTCAAGAAAATAAATGTTTCTTTTGCAATAAGACTGGACACATAAAGAAGCAATGTGTTAAATATCATGCTTGGCGTGAAAAGAAAGGGTTGCCTAAACTACCGGAAGCCAACTAATTCTGAAAGATGAATATACGTTCAAAATGGCAAATTGGTGGAAATGGAGACTATTAAACATTTTATATTATTATTGTGTACTGGTTTTTTATTTTAGATTTAAAAGACATTTTTTGTCGTGCCGTCTTTTAGACGGAATTTGGTTTCAGTTTCTTATTTGGACAAATTATGTTATTTGTGTTCATTTGGAAACAATAAGTTCAGTTTGTCTTTTAATTCAGATATTGTTATAACTGGTTCATTTTTTGGCTAATGATAATCTATATTTACTTGATACTGTGGTCACCTATAATGCAACTCTTCATACATAATCTCGTGGTACTAAACTAAAATTAGACTCCCAAACAGTAAGTAGTTACTTCATTGGTTATTCTGAAAGAGCCAGGGGATATAAATTTTTATGATCTCACATTAAAGACAATTTTTGAGATGGGAACTGTCATGTTCTTTGAGGATATTGAGTTTGGGGGGAAGAATAAGATTAAGAATTTTGTATTGGAGGAAGAATCGACAATAAATCCAGAACCGATTCAAACAGCTACTTTTGATAAGTAAGTTCGGAACCTCCACAAGACATTGATGATAAACCCCATATTCAAGATGATTTGATTGTTCGTCAAGACCAAACTCAAAGATCCTCAAGAACCTGTGCGTCATGAGCCGGGGATACTCCAGTTACTATGGGAGACAAGTTTAGTCTAAATTAGTGCCCAAAGAGGAATTTGGAAATTGAGGAAATGCAACAGATTCCCCCATGCATTAGCTATCGGGAGTTTGATGTATTCCCAAATATGTACGTGTCCAGACATAACATACATAGTTGGGGTTCTAGGCAGATATTTAAGCAATTCAGGAATAGACCATTGGAAAGCAGCAAAAAAGGGTCATAAAATATTTAAAGAGAACAAAAGATTATATGCTCACATACAGGAGGTCAGACCAATTGGAGATCGCTGGATTTTCTGACTCATAATTTTCAGGATGTCAAGAATTTGTAGCATGCTATGAGGCATCAAATCATGGAATATGACTGAGAAATTTTGTCACAAGGCTGCAAATTGTGAAAGGCATTGAAAGACCACTTAAGTTATATTGTGACAATAAATCAGTTATATTGTTAAGGAAAGAGTACAAAGTGGACAGATTTCCATAGAACACTTAAGGACAAACTCCATGATAACATATCCTCTAACTAAAGGACTTCCGCCCAAGGTCTTTCATGAGCATGTTGCTCACATGAGTGTTTTACAGTTTGAGGAATTTGTGGTTTAGTGGGAGTTAGTCACTTTCATATATTTTATGTTCTATGTTTAATTTCATATATGTATACATTGATTTTTTGGACATATTTGGTTATCTATAGATATGCGGTTTTTTCGTTCATTCATTACACTTTGTACATTAAGGATATTATATCGATCTCGATAAGTTAAAGTTTGGACCAGTTGAAAATAGACGTGTACAGATCATCTTCACGTAATTTTTCATGCTACACATTTCATGATGAATCCATGTCATTTGGTTATGTTAGGATGAGTAATCATTGTTGGTTTTAGTTGCGATGATGCAATGAAAAACTGGTTTGGTTCTATATCCTAATATGATTAATGGACAGGACTTTTGGAATATGCTAAAGGAATATAATGACAATTTTGAGCTCATAAAGTCTAACACATTTGTAAGGTTGTAAAGACATATATATTTGTGACCAGTGGGAGATTGTTGGCAAATTTTGGGTCATGTATATATATGATACATATTTAAATGTGTTAGGGTCATTATTTATTAAGCCAAATAATAAAGTGATCTGAATAAATTAAAGTTTTGGCTAAAGGCATATGTCATGAAAATATGATTGTGTAGAGACCATAGAGTAATTTTTAATTTGATGAGGGGCCAAATTGAAAATACTAAAACTTAAGTAATTAACCTAATTTTGGTTATATAAAGGGTCATGGTCCCCTTCGAGAGCACACGGACGAACGTAGTTACAGGTCCCGTTCCTTTCTCTCTATCCCCATCAAGAGAGAAAATCCATAGGGAAATACAGGTGCTCTTCAGGTGGAAGACCATAAGATCAAATCAAAAGTGCTCTACAAAGGATATCGTCATTATGGCCAATTCAGGTACGCTTTCGCATTTAGTTTATAACATGTATACAGTATGAGATTATAGATATATGTTTGATCATTAGGATGAAGATCATATTCAATTACAGTTTAACCTAACATAATGAATTAAGAACGTAAGAAAATTACATAATGATTTTACATTTAAAACTAGAGATACATGTGGACTCGAATATAAGTAAAAATAACTAATTTGATATTAAAATTAATAATAAAATTATTAATTAATTTATGACTAAATTATTGTAGGAGTTGTTTGGTTATGCTATAAGTCTGATATGGTATAGGAGTCGAGATCATGGTAATTTTTATATATTTTTTACTCTCAACTCATCTATATATATATATATATATATATATATATATATATATATATATATATATATTTTAGGAAACAATCGTGATCGACAAAAGTTTCAAAGAAAACAATATATCAGATATAAAAATTTATTCTAACAATATTATCATAATAAATATGAGACCGATATTCTAGTTTTTAGATAAATAATTTTAAAATGTATTTTGAGGATGAAGGAAATGAAAGAATTTTCTTTGATGACTTTTTTTTTATCAACAAAGATAGATTAGTGGATAATATACCAACTATGTTTTAGTAATTTTTTTCTACAGTTTTGAAAATTTTTTTGTATGTTAACTTAATGGCGTCATCATTTATATTTGTATGTTCAATTAAGAAATGTAATAGCTTTTCATGTGAACAATCTTTCTTACTTTTAATAAATATAAGTGAAGGTTCAATTATTGTGTTAAATTTATTTTTTATTTTTAAATCTTTACAAACAAAAATAAGGCTGTTGCAGTCACACTGAAGAAAACAAACTGTGATGAGTTAATTTATTAAAAGAGAGAAAGTAAAATTTCTAATAACAAATAACGAATTGAACATCATTTTATACATTTTCATTATTATTTCTATTAAATAAAGTTGTATACATTTTATACACTTGTTATTATTATTTTATGCATATTTATTATCTGTATTAGAAACATGTGAATTTTTTTTTGTTTTTGGTTATTAAAGAAATGTTTATGAAGAGGCTTATCCAATCACATCCAAATTTATTATGATTGTAAGTTATTATGACCTAAAGTTTTGTTATTTGCAACAACAGAAAAGAAATAATAATTACGACGAATTTGAATAAGTTTTTCCAAAATTATTTTTAAGAGAGAAAAGTAAAAAATGAAAAAAAAATGGTTTTTCCATAAAAAATGTATGCATAAGTTAATATAGAAATTCTCTGATAACTCTAAATATATTTTAATCTTAAAAAGTGTCTATGGAGCTAATTGATCAAACATGTTCGAAGTTATTATATTTAATGATTAATCTATAAGTGATAATTTTAGAATAATTATACAATGATAGTAATTTATCCTCTTAACCTATTGTTTAACACTATCAATAAATCTACAATTTTCTTATGCCTATTTTCTTCCATATTTTTGTTGTTCACAGTAATAGAAAAGTTATAACAATTTCAATGTACAAACTATTACTTTAGAGATAACTCATTGAACAAATGCGTGATAAGATTAATGTTGTACTCTTAATATTAATGCTTGAAAAATATCTCCTTTAAAAACGATAAATATAATAAATAAATATTTAGAATGTTTATACTTTTTATGTAATATACTTATAATTGTTTATAATTATTAGTGAAAGAAGGTACAAAATAAATTCAATATATTCATTAGGTAATTTTTAAATGGAACTGATAAAATTTTTCGCCAAAGGGACATTATATTATCTTAAAAACTATAAACTTGTGCCAAAATATACAATGATCTCTCTCATTCGATGTATTAAACTTTAATATTTAATACTTTTTTTAATAAAATTTATTAATTATGTATGGAAATTAATTTAGAAGGTTTAATGTTTTTAAAACGATAATTGAAGTAAAAGTTTTTTTTTTAATTACTGAAGATAGAAGCGAGAGATAGTTATTATTTTTTTTTCAAAAATTAAGAAAATACAACCTTTTTTGGTATTTAAAAGGGATGTTTATGCTCCTAAGAATCAATCAACACATTATCTACCATGGAATTGTTTCCTCCTCCAATGACATTCCTCCTGATTTTAGTTTCTAGTTGCTTCTTTTGCCTTAGTAAAGCTATAGATTGTGGTGGAAAGAGTATTTCAGATACCATAATTGTTGATCCACATGGCAAAGATGAAGCATTTACAACAATTCAAGATGCCATTAATTCTGTGAAGAGCCAGAATGATCAATGGATCAAGATTCACATAAAAGCAGGGTCATATACGTAAGTTGAAAGGATGTTTTGATGTATAGTTTTCTTTATGTTTTATCAACAGACACGAATTTTTTAAAGAAGACAAAAGAATATTTCATGCTTTAAAACAATGTTCTTCTAGCTATCCACTATTTCTTAATCTTTTTGTTGTTATCCAAATCATCAATCATGTTATAGTAACTCAGTCACTCACTACCATCCAATTAACTAATGAAGTTACTTCCCGCATAACTATATATCACTAACAAGTTTTCACTAAAATCATTTTATACCATTCTCACATTGTCCATACATTTTACGCTTGGCCCCCAGATTTTGACAGTGTGGTTCCTCTAAGGAATGAAATAGTATCCATCCTGAAGTTTCATTTTCTTTTTGTATGGTAATGACATTATTATAGTATTTATTTCAGTATTATAATTGTGCAGAGAAAAGCCTCAAATTCCCAGACAAAAACCATGCATCATATTAGAAGGAGAAGGTAGCCAAAATACAATCATAAGTTTTTCAGACCACGGCGGAATAAACAGTGGTGGAACAAGCGATAGTGCTACATTCACCTCATACCCACCCAATGTGATTGTGACTGGTATTACTTTCAAGGTGAATCTACAACATAAACAAATCATACAACAACCATCTTCATAACTCTGCAACATTCCTTACCTGTAATATATTGTTGTGTATGTACAGAACCCATTTGGTTATTCACCAGCAGTGGCAGCAAGGATATATGGAGACAAATCTTTCTTCTATAACTGTAGTTTCGTGGGTTATCAAGACACTTTACTTAACGCAAAGGGACGTCATTATATTAAAGATTGTTACATTGAAGGTGAAGTAGACTTTATTTTTGGTGCTGCACAATCTTATTACGAGGTAAACACACAGATAAAAAGTGTTATAGAAATCCAGTTTGAAAATAGAATAATGAAACGTTCACTTTTTTGGTGTTTTGTTCACTTGTAGAACTGTTCGATCAATGCTGTGGCGAGAAATCCAAATATACCCGGCTTTGTGACAGCTCAAGGACGAAACTCATCAGATGACCCAGGTGGTTTTGTGTTTGAAGGCGGTTCAATTAATGGAAATGGCAAAGTGAATTTAGGAAGAGCATGGAGACCATACTCCAGAGTCATTTTTCATAAAACCTATTTTTCCTCCATTATAACTCCTCAAGGATGGGATGCTTGGAATGCTGCTGGCAATGAGTAAGTTTACATAGATACATCTCTTAAAAGGAGTATTTTGGGTTTGTGCTAATATTTTACAGATTAAGTATTTGTTTTCTACATTTTATTAATTTGTGACAAAACTGGTGTAGGAGCACGATCACTTATGTTGAAGTTGATTGTGAAGGAGCAGGAGCTGATACTTCAAAACGTGTTCCATGGATGAAGAAATTAAATTCTTCAGAGATGGAACAATTTTCTTTTGCATCTTTTATCAATGAAGATGGATGGGTTGATAACTTACCAACAATCTCTTAGTAATTTTATTTTATGGCTATGCTTAGTTGGGTGGCTGTTAATGATTGTATGCTCACGAAGAAATGTAGCATTTTATGGTATGAACAATCTTTTATACCAATAAATAAAAGTAAATATGTTATTCTTGTGTTGCATTTTTTTTTTAATTTTCTTTGTCTTGTTTATAAACACGACCGTCTATAATAATTTGTAAAACTTATAAAAGCTTTTTCAATGTTTCAAAACAAAAAGGTTGATGAACAAATTCAATCAAAGAGAAAGTAAAACCACCAAAGTCACAACTTGATGTATATATATGGCGATGGCAATAACCTTGACATGAAATAACAGGCAAATTTTAAAACATCGTCACATTCTTCACTATTTATCAATTTATTATCTTACTAATTTATGAATTTATGAATTTATTAACTCATTAAATTATTAATTTATCAATTTATTAACTTATTAATTTATTAAGTTATTAATTTAATAATTTTAACTTGTTAATTATCAATTTATCAACTTATAAATTTATTAATTTATTAACTCATTAACTTAAATTTACTAATTTATTAAATTACTAACTTCAATTTATTAATTTATTAGCTTATTAACTTAAATTTACTAAATTTATTAATTTATTACCTTATAAACTTATTAAATTATCAATTTAATAACTTACTAATTTATGAACTTATTGAATTATTAATATAATAAATTATTAGCATGCTTTTAAAAAATTTGTATGTAAATATTAATATGTGTAGTATGACTATGACATCGTAATTTTAATTTTTTTTAATTTAGTAATCTATTACTTCAAGTGGATCTAATTATTAATTTATTTATCTATTGACTTGTTAATTTAATATTATTATTATTATTATTATCATATTAATATTATAGGTTATTTATTGTCGTGTCTTTAGATATAATTAAAATTTATTTTATTCTAATCTTATTTTTAGGGCATTTTTAATTAAAGGTTTATACAATAAAAATTGCAATTTATTATCTCTAATGTGCCACATTATTAAGTAATGTACACTTGATTTTGTTTAAAGAATATTTTTAAAGGAAGTTATTTGACAAAATTACTTACTAAATTTACTAATTTATTAACTTATTAACTTAAATTTATTAATTTATTAACTTACTAACTTATTAATTTAGTAAGTTTTCAACTTAATATATATTAACATATTAACATTTTTTTTAACTTTTCTATACAAGTCTTAAGAGGTGTAATACGACTGACATTCTAATTTTATTTTATTTTTTAATTTATTGATTTATTATTTTATTTATTTATGTATTGACTCTTTTATTATTATTATTATTATTATTATTATTATTATTATTATAATCAATTTTATAATTATAACTTTATAATAATTCATTATATAAGTTATTTTTTTATTTTATAAGAATTTCGAATAAATTTCATTATATAAATTATTTTTTTATTTTAAATAATTCATGTGTTATGATTTCTTTGCTTATTTTGTTAAGAAATAATTTTTATTCTTAAAAAAATATTACAAACTTTAATTAAAAAAAATTTCATATAAATCAACTCTAATAAAACATTTCGTAAAAGAAATATTGAAATATTTGAGTAAAATATTAATCATTTAAATTTTCGTAAGAAAATCTTAGTTGACATAATAAATTATTTTAAAAAATTATAAATTATTTTGTGAAGTAACTAATTATAAAAATAATTAAGTAGCTTTAACTTCTTTAAAAATTATTTATTTAAATAAAATTTAATGTAGGTTGTTTATGGATGAGGTACAATTTTTTAATGTAACAAGTTGAAGTTGTCATAAGTATACAAAGATAAATAACTTGTCAATAAAAACTCCTATTGTATTTAAGTGAATTAATTGCATCTATTAAATAAAGATATTTTATTTAAGCTCTTTAATGGTCAAACAAACTTATATCAAGTTATTTTTAAAATTTTAAAATAATAAACTTATTCTCATTTTTATTTTATTTTTTAAATCTGAATATCAAAAAAGCTATAAAAAAAGTGGGATAATTTTTTTTTCAAATAATTAGTAGCATTTACTCATTGAATCAAACTATTTACTTAACCTTGTGCCAAGATATCCATTTCCACTGTCTTTGTTAATATGAAAGGAAATTATTTAAATAATTTTAAAAAATAATTAATAATTAATGAATTAAATATTTATTTTCTTGAACTTATAAAAAAAAAGTGAGAGTTTTTTTTTCAAATGACAACATTCTTTTTGTATTAAAAGGTAAGTTTATGTTTACAAAATTTATTATTCAATAGAGGTGTTCTACCATGAAATTGTGTCTTAGAAAGATGAGTTATGTTTTGATGTTGTTTAGACTGTGGTGGGAAGGATGTTGCACAAACGATCCTTGTTGGTAAACTAGGCAAAGCAGCATTTAGAACAATTCAAGAAGCCATTGATTCTGTAAAAACTAACAATGATCAATGGGTCAAGATTCATATAAAAGCCGACATGTAAGTTCAAATGATATTCTTATAAAATCACACAATTTTGTTTGTTTTGTCAACAAAAATGTTTTTTGTTTTTTTTGTTTTTTATATATATGATAATACAAAGAATGTTCCATGCATGTTTTCATCAAACATCATACTATGCTATATCTAAATTGGTAATAGTAAGAATTATGCTTTGCCATATAAGTTGTGCCAGGGAGACAACTTCAGATGCGTAACTTTTGTTTATTTGGCATTTCTCATTTTGATAAGGATGAATACTCAAACTCTTTACATCCAAATTAATTGTACTTCAAACATTCTGAATACTTCAGAAACCTTCTCCACCATTCTTATATTGTCCATTGATTTTAAACTTCGCAACCCTAGCTGTTCATCAATTTTAATAATATGGTTCTAATACGGAATTAATGTATTTGTATTCAACCTCAATTTTTTTCCTTTTGGTTCTAATGTGGGAATTACCTTAATGTGAATTTCGTCTTGAATTTGGTACAGATTTTTAAAAACATACTCTCACCTTTGTATAATCATGTACAGTTAGTTATTCCCATAATGTACTTGTGCAGGGAAAGGGTTTCTATTCCCACAGAAAAGCCATGCATAATTTTAGGAGAGGGTAGCGCTACAACAATCATTAGTTACTAGGACCACAAAAGTAATGCTACCTTCACCTCTTCCGCCCCTATTAGAGATAGCTCAATTATTAGATAATTATGTTGTATAAACACTTGAGTTGTTATGTATTTATTTTTCTTTTTTCTTTACAAACTTAGTTTTGATGTACTAAGTTTCTATTTATTGTAAACTGAGTTGATCAATGAATAAAGAGATGTATTCTTTTTTCAGAAATTTTAATATGGTATCAGATTATTAAAATCTCTCATCTCTTCCGCACATCTCTTTTTCTTCGTTTTTTTTTTGATTGACCATGGCTAAATCCAACTAAAACAACTCAACACCAGATCACCTCATTATTTCGGTCAATCCTCTGTATCTTCATCCCGATAAGAATTTTTCCATTGTTCTTATCTCTTCTCTATTGATTGAAAATAACTTTCATCAATGGCAGCTAAAGATGATGGTTACCCTACAAACCAAAAACAAAGAATAGTTCGTCACGGACAGTCTTCCATGTCCACCAATCACAAACCCCCTTCACGACACCTGGCACAAATGCAATCGCATGGTGATGGCTTGGTTGATGCGTTCCATGAGTACCTCCATCAAACAATTCGTGATGTGGATGAAAAACGCTTCAGACATATGAAAAGACTTGAAAGAAAGATTACCACATTTTGACAAATTTTTCATTGTCGATCTTCAAGATCAAATCCAGAATTGTAAACAAGATGGTTTATCCATTTTCGATTATTACACAAGATTACAAATTTTGTGGAAAGATATTGAACTTTATTGGTGTGTTATTCTTTGTAAATGTCCTGTATCTTGTTCTTATGATTTTTTTTGCAAAGCTCCAAAAAGAAAGGAAGGATGATTGTGACATTCGGTTTCTTCGTGATTTAAACAATGACTACTCTCAAGTACGATCCTAGATAATGATCATGAATCACATGCCTTCGATCCTCAGGATTTTTTCTATGATTCTACAACATGAAAGAGAATTTGTTGGTACTGTCTCTGATCTTCCTCCTCAAGACTCAGTTGTCTTCTATGCTCAATTGGATTATTCTTCCAAAAACCCCAATTTCAAGAATTCGATTGGAGCTACAAAGACCACTAATATAGGAAAATTTACTAATCAGAATACGAAATATTGTGAAAATTGCAAGAAAACAAACCACACAATTAAAACCTGTTACTGGAAAATTGATTTTCCTGCTAGGTAGAAAATCTGGTTGTATCTCTTTCTCTGGTCCTAAATCTTTGCAAGTTTGGCTAAAGTATACTCTGCCACACCCTCACAGCAATCTTCAATGGTTGACGGTTCTCCATGTGACCAATTCAGCTTCTCAAAAGAACAATATTAGGTCATTTTAGCTCTTCTTCAGCAATCTAAACTTGGGGCATCTTCTGTCAACTATTCTCATAGTTCCTCTGTTAATACTGTAGGTGATATTTCTTCCTTTTCCTCCTGAATTCTGGATAGTGGTGCGACAGATCACATTTATCTATCACAATCTTGTTTTTCTTTCTTAAAATCCATATCACCTGTTCAGATAAAACTGCCCAATAATACCACTGTGATTGCAAAATTTTCTAGCAATATTACCCTTGGAAAATTAACTCTTGTTGATGCCTTATACGTACCAGATTTTGTTACTAACCTTATATGAATTCCCAAATTAGTTTCTACAATTGATTGCATGGTTATCTTTTATAATGAAACTTGTTTCATTATGCAGAAATCAATACATCAGATGATTGATACAACTAAGAAATTGAATGACCTCTTTTTTCTTCAAGATTCCAATGACTCAAATTCATGTGAATCACACTTTCTCAATGCTACTAACACACAACATTTTGTCACATATAACATGTCTTTGTT